GGCGCTGTTCCGCGTGGGGCTGCAGAGCGGCGAGGTGCGCACGGCGCGGGCCGTGTCGGAGCGGGACGCGGCCAAGCAGCGGCTGGTGGCCGTGGTGAAGGACCACGGGCAGCCGGCGCTGTCGGCCACGGCCACGCTGCACGTGGTGCTGGCCGACAGCTTGCAGGAGGCGCTGCCGGAGCTGAGCGACAGAGACGATGTGTCCCAGCTCACATCTGATCTAAATCTCATTCTTGTAGTGTCGCTTTCTGTTGTGTCCTTTTTATTCCTTTGCACGCTCTTTTTTGCATTTTTCTTTAAATACCGACGGTCGAGGGGCCCTCCCATTTTTTTAACCTCTGATAAGGAACTCTATTCCAGCCTTGGCTCAAAAGCACCATACAACTACTGCAGCAGCACGCTGCCCTTGCCCTACTCCTATGAAGTGTGTTTAGCCTCCAAACCGGGTCAGAAAGACTTCACGTTTTTGAGACCAGGGACTGCAGCACTGTCTGCTCATCTCCTCGCCTGTGAACCCGGCTCAGGCACTCAGTCCGGGAAGGACCCTCCTAGCCCTGGGAGCTCGGCACAGGTGAGCTTCTGACTTAAGGTTTTTCTCTGCGGGTTTGTGTGAATCTTCTTAAGGTCTGGAGCACAAGTCCTATGAGCAGAGGCTGAGGGAGCTGGGGTCATTTAGCCTGGAGAGGAGGAGGATCAGGGGAAACCTTATCGCTCTCTACAACTACCTGAAAGGAGGTTGTAGCCAGGTGGGGTCGTCCTCCCAGTCAACCAGCAGTAGGACAAGAGTGCACAGTCTTAAGCTGCGCCACGGGAGGTTTAGGTTGGACATTAGGAAGAAATTCTCCAGAGAAATAATGACTAGGCATTGGAATGAGCTCCCGAGGGAGGTGGTGGATTCACCATCCCTGGAGGTGTTTATGGAAAGACTGGATGTGGCACTGAGTGCCATGGTCTAGTTGACAAGGTGGTGTTAGGTCACAGGTTGACTCCATGACTGCAGAGATCTTTTACAACCTAATTGATTCTGTGATTCTTTTTCCTCTCTTCTGCTGTCGGGGATCAGTGGGCAAACGGCATTGTCGCATCCCGGCGCACTGCTCAATAGCTCAGGGGCGCATGAATGGGGGTCAGTGTGTGTGTGTGACATCGACTGGTCCTTTTGACCCACCTAGTCTTATGTGCTGTGTTGACGATTTTGCCCCGATTTTTGCCATGTTGCCAGTACTTCTCTGTCCTGAAGAGAACAGACAGGTGCGAGTTTCACCGAACCGTAATGGTGAGATGGACACGGGATGGAGTGGGGACAAAAAGCGTCGTGGGGTCTGAAGATGAGACTACCCTTTCACCTTGATCTAGTGACTACTTCACTAATTGTCTCTGCCACATCTGAGCTCTTTCATGTGATAATGACGTGTTCACTCAGTGAGGGAGTAATTCCGTAGTTATCTTCCTTCCTTTCAAGCTTTGTTCTTGTGTATTCTTAACCTCTTTATCAGAAGGCGTTGTTTACACCCGTAATTTAACATCTCCGCTCCGTCCGGGGAGATGGAATTAGTGCTCCACTGTAGTTCCGAGCTTGAAACAGAGCAGAAAATGCTTTGGGTCTGCTGGTGCCACAGGATCCTTTGGAGCCCTGGCGGAGCCGGGAATAATGCCAGAGTGAATGGCTTAGGCTGGGACTTGGCTTGAACCCGTACTTGAAGGAATTCCAGGTGCTGGGGAAAGTGTCTTTCCCCTTAGCTATCGGTAGGTTTCCACTCCTCTCCCTCCGAATGGTGCTTTCAGGCGCTCTGAAGCCTCGTCTGCAATATTTGGGCTTCCCATCAAGGCGGAGGAGACGTAATGGCTCCACATCGATCAAAATAGGGTAGGTGGAAATGTTCAGCCTTCGATGCCTTTCCCGAGAGTACTTTCACTGTACTCATCTCTGCGCTGCTCGGGTGTCCCACTACTGCTGGGATTAATGGACAAGGTACTCTGCATACGAGTGTGTACACTCGTAGGAAAGAAAATTACTTGAGAACGGCGGTCCCCACGTTAGAGAAATTGTTCGGTAAACCGAGTTTAGGAAAGACACAAATAGGAAGTGGTTGGAAAAAGGATTCAGAGCTTCTTTCAGAGAAAATAATAAGTCACTGAAGGCTGTTAAAAGATTTGTCTTGAAGAGCACAGGGGATTTTCTTTGGTTTAGATTATGTGTAAGAAAGAAAGATAATTCAGATTTGGTTGCCTATGAGAAAAGAAGTGCTCTGGGAACGTTAGATGACTAACACTGGATTTTATCGGTGCGAACTTTATACTTTTCTCACATTCTGCGGGCCACTGCTAAGAATGATAAATAGCGCTAGTAAGGTTTATCTTTTGGCAATGGTTAATAACTAGAAAAGGAAATAGCTGAGCATGTAGAGAAGACGGACTGAGCCAACTCTTTGATATTGCTGAGTCTTCATATAAGCGGAGAAATAATTCATCTCTGGGTGGATCCCGTGTACTCACGGCAGTTATTAAGATTGAGTGCCGGTCGAGGACACGCGACTGAGTCGAGGTCGTGCTCTCTCCTACGTTGGTGTGGGTGATTTGCAGCCCCTACACAACGAACTCAGCCATTATAAGTAGCGGGGTAACAAATAACCAGCCACAATGTTTCCCAATCGCTTCCCCAGGGCTTTTAAAAGAAGGGACTGAACACGTGGGAGCTGAGTTCGATTTCGATTTATTTCATGGACATCGCGGTCTCCCTTCCTGAGCAGTCTCGGCTGTGGAAAGACACAGCTGTGTCACAGCCGGGTTAGCTCCTGGCGCTCCCTTATCAAACCTCCTCGTCCCCTTCCCATTACACCGTGACAGCTGAGCAATTGTGAGAGCGTCAGACAAGGTGGGCCAAAATTGGGGTCGTTTTATCACTATAGGTGCGCGAGAAGTTGGAAAACCCGGCTGATGACAGCAACAACCCCAAAGGCAGGCAGGCAGACAACTCAGGAAAGGGCTGATTTTCGCCCAGGAACCATAAGCGCCTTGGTCTGCACGGTGCCGTGACCTGCTGGGCTTTGCTGCACGGGAACGGGATCCATTCTTGGCCCCGGTGAGCCCGCATGTCGCAGACCGTGATTTCTCTGCGTCTGCCTGGTGGAGAAGGGTACCAGGGAGCAAGCTGGGAGGTGACGAGCGCAGGAGGGCGTATTAAACCGAGATTTCTACGATTTGTCGGGAAAGATGCCTGCTGGGATAGTGGTGGGGATCCCGCAGGAGGGGCGGTGCTCCTGCGAATTCTGCTGCGGAAGCCTCCCCGCGGTGTGACTTTGTGCTGCAGCCGGAGGAGCTGCTCCTAACTCAGCAGCACGAAATCAGTGTTTCTGTGCCGGCGACGCTGCTTTGGTGACACACTGAGCCGCTACGTCGCGACTCCGTGGGATGTCAGGAAGGGGCTAACCAAGCACTTGGGTGGGATGACCGGCATCCTGAAGGTCCTGAGGGACACGGGAAGCCGGTGCCAGTACTGGCTCCCCCTCGGCACCCTGTATACCCCAATCCACCCTTCCCACTTCTCCTCCCGCCCGCTTCACCTCCGCTGCTTTACTCCCTCTGCCTCATTCTAACGAGGTGTTCCCAGGACACAAACACACACCAAAGACCCCACATTTCCGGATCGCCCTTTTTGGCGTCATCCTCTCCACCAACCCTTACACCTTCCTGCCCGCACACGCAGTCCCCGTGCCCGATCTACCCTGCCCCTGCCAGCGCTCTCCCAGCCCGCCTGTCCTTATAGCGGGGGTTCCGTCAGAGCTGCGCTCTCCCTTCAGGTTCTGCCGGCTCCAGCCCCGCTGTCCTCGGGCCAGGGTCGCCGCTGTCCCTCCGGCGAGGCTCGGCGGCGGCGGCGGCCCCGCGGCGGGGCTTTGGAGCCCTGCGCTCTGTGCAGTTATTGGACGGGACTCTGTGTGCCGCTGTCGGC